ATAAATAAACTAGTTTAGACTTGATCAAATCTATTTAATGAAGAGTATATAATACTATCTTAATTTTTTCTAAAATAATTTATAAAGTAATTTAGTTATCAAATTATTGTATACTATAATCTGAATCAAAATTTAGATCCTTCAATATGGTCTAATAAATTTTTTTTATCAAGGTTTTTTAATAAATATTAGTTACTGCATTGGTCATACTTTTAAGTATTTTACCAGTAAAATATTTACTTAATAGAATATTCAATAGTAATAACTTGTTGGTAATAAAGTGATGAATTAGAAGAATATTTATGCAAAGATCACTATAAAGTAAAATATTGTTTTCAAATTAAACTTAAAGGTTATTATTGCTTATAACAAATTAGTTAGATTTGAAATTAATGTTTAGTTATAGTATATATTATACTATTTGAGTAAAAATATATTTATATTTTCAATTGATTAATAAATTACAATTTAATCTAGTTATAGATACTCAAAAAAAAAAAAAATAGAATATAGTAGATAAACTATATATATAAATAATATATACAGTATATGAAGAATTCACAACTCTTTCTATTGATTTCTTAATAATACATAAAAAAGATATTTGTAAAAAAGTTTTATACTTTTTTATTAATAATATCTTATTACTTTTCTTAAAACAACTTAAAGAATAATTTCAAGAGTTCTTTTCAAATCTCTTCTCTTATTTATATTCTTTTTTAAACAAAAACTTGACTTTTGATAATCAAGAAAAGTCAAGAACTATTTTTTTTTTTTTTTATAGTAAGAAAGTTTTAAAAGCAAGAAAAACCAATAGTAAAGTAATAAAAACCTATTTTCTAAAGCAAGACTATAATTAAAGATCTTTTGCAATAAATAGATGGATAAACAAAAGCCTAAATCTAAAAACATTTTTTTTTTACTATTTCTATCCTTTTAGAGTTACCTATTTTTCAAAGTTTTTGAGAAATTTTACTTATACCAGTTTGACCTTGAATTTTGAAGTGATACAAAATTGATATAACTTTTGCTAAAGATGCTTGATTGATATGAAATATGTTGGTAGTAAAATGTGAACAAGTTTTCACTAGTTATATTATTAAGTTTTGATGATGTCATTGATAAAAGAAAGAAAAGTTATTAATATAGACTTCTCTATTCCTTCAAATAAAGTATAACTGAAACAAAAAAATTATGAAGTTATTAGAATAGGTTTTAAATTTCCTAGATAATGAAAAGGTGATTATTTATTTAAATCAAGAACTTTAACTTCTTATTATTTCAATCAGGCAAAGTATATGAAGAAAATTATTTTTTTATTTCAGTCAGGTTATAAAACTGAAAAATAGAAGAATATAAAATACTATTCTTCTTTAAAATTGAGAATGCATTTTTCCATATATTATATAATAATATCATAATCGACAAGAATTCTTATCACTGGTTTTATTTCTTTCACTATTACAAGTCAAAAAAATTATTGGGAAATCTGATTTTTTGGATAATAGAAGATAATCAATAATAAAATTTCTTTAACAAGATGTGACTGTTGGAAGATATTAAAAGTTATACAATATTATTAAAAAGTTATATAAGAACTTGAAATTTACTATTAGTAATTTTATTATATATAGATAGATACAAAATCAAGATAAAAAAAAAGAAAGTGTTAAACAAGATACTGGATCTGAATAGATAATAAGTATTTTAGATGATTATAAGAAAATAATTTAAATTATGAATAGATAAGTTCCTCAGATGATCAGAAAGAAGAAGTATATCCTAGAAGTGTTAACTCCTAATAAGAAGAGATTTTTAATAAAGATTTTTTGAAGAATATGGAGCACTTTTATTTTTATTTTTTATTTTTATTTTTCATATAGTACACTTGTACAGTTTTAGATATCCCCTTTTCTTATATTTTTCTTTTTTCCTTTATAGTTTCTTGAAACCAATTTCTTGAAGTATAATAAATAATAACAATCTATTAGCAATAATATATAAATTAGAAGGTTTTATTCAAAATCTACTATAGAACAAAATATTATTCTTAAGATTATATTTAGAGGCTAAAGCTCTTTTGAGAATTGAAAACCATTGACAAGTATATCAGTACATAATTTTTTTTTTTTTTAATGTAGCAAAGCCATACTTTATTGATTTAATTGATATAATAAAATAAGAAGAAACTCTTAACTTCTATATCCAATCTACTTCTCAAATAAAGTATAACAATAGGATAAAAATCCACCTTGTAGCTATTGCTATCTCATTAAAACTAGTGGAACTAGTGTAAGGACTACTAATGCTAATATAAATTTTGATTCCTCAGATAGAGAGGATTGGAAAGAATTGTGTTCAAATTTATGTCTACCACAAACCATCTGATCTGTTTTACTATTATGTTCGATACCCTACTCTACTATCTTTATTTAAATGAGAAAAATGGAAACAAGACTATATAAATTTAAACAGGTGTAAAAACTCTGCATTATAAAAAAGGTATCGAAAAGAAGAGGAGAAATGGTTTGATTATGAGTGACTTGAAAACATGCTACTACTATCATATTGATACCATAAGCTAGTTACTCTTTGAAGGCTTCATCAGTTCAGGGTGCAATGTCTATTCCTTCACTGCTTTCAGTACCTCTATGTTATAAATCTTGTATACCAGTTCTTTACCTTTTCCTTTCATACCCTATTCAGTATAGAATCTTCTACTGATGTTCTTCTGGGTAATGATAAGTTGGAGGTTTTGAAGGGCTCTAGGATATAGGGGAAAGTGAATAGGCACTGGAATAGTTAGAGGTCTGTTATCCAACAATCTGTTCTTCTTTACTATTGCGATAACTTCAACCTAGAAAGGAGAATATTGATACTTCTGACATGTGCTTTGTTGGACTTGATAAATATTATATTGTTTTCCCCAAAGTACTACTATTTGTAGAAATTGAACTATTGTTTAATGTCCCAGCATGGCATATTCTTCAGTTACTAGAATCATTCAACTACATATTAGTGTTAATGATTAGGTACAAATAATCTTAAGATCTCCCTAATCTTTCAAAATTCATACTGATAAAGAATAGGTATAGCACTTTTAAGGCATCATTCTTGTTCTATATTCCTTTGAGCCTTGTCTTCATTCTTCTTTCTTAATAGAGAAGGAGGAAGGGTATGTTCTTCTCTTTCGCTTAACCAAAGATATAGGAGTTTACAGTATTCTTATTCACTTGCACTATGCAATAATGATTTATATAATGAACCTCAGGTTCTTATGGATTTAAAGAAATATATTAGAACACGTGAAGTGATCAATAGAAGTTTGTTTATTTCTTTTACTAATATAAAATTTCTATCCAATCACGGTGTGAGAAACTTTGTGCTATTTAAAATTCAGGATCAAACTGAGATAGGCAAAATTCTTAGAAAAACTCAAAAATGAGTACTATTAAAGTGCAACAGGTGACAAAAAGAGTGGGAGAGGAATCTCTTATTACAAACAATACTTTGTACTGTTTCTCTATAGTATGAGATGACTATACATTAGTTCTTTTTTTTTTCAGAACTTTTTTGCCATTGATAAGAAGGGTATTGCTTGACTTTTTGATCACTAGCAGTCAAGTTTTTGTTTGAAGAGGAGTAATAACAAGAGGAAGAGGGTATAAGGATAACTTTTGAAGTTTTCTTCAAGTTGGTTTAAAGAAAGTGATAAGACTATGTTAGCAAAGAAATATAGAACTTCTTGTGAATATCATAATTTAGTTTAGCCATGATGCAATTGTTCTATATATTTTTATCAATTTTTATAATTAATAATAAATACACAATACTGGCCTGACTATAGGTTTAAAAAAAAATATATATATATGAAGAATTCACTATAGAAATATATAAAATATATAAAATTATTAATATACTGTAATACTTGTGAATTTGACTATTTATCAAATGTTAAGTTAATTCTTAATAAAGAACTTTTACTGTATCTATAATTTAATAAAAAATTTTTGAAGATTTTAAAATTATATTTAATTATAAATAAGTAATTTTCTAGAATAAGAGACCACGGGTTTAAAAAAAAAAAAAAAAAGGATAAGATAATATTAACAATTGCTAATAATCTGAAACTATTTTTTTTTAAAATTGAAAAATTTTTGATAATGGTAATCAATTGATTTATCAAAGATATACTTCTAATAACTTCAACTATTAAAAAAAAAAAAGAATCTATAAAGTATTTATAAAACTGATAAGTTGTATTTCAAGTAAAGAAACTATATACTGTATATGCCAAATTAGTGCTGCGCCGTGTAATCATAATTGTGACGCTTTATGTCATCGGTGATTGGTAACCTTGCACGCAATTCTTTGGTTACCCACTTGAAGAAGAATAAAGAGTATTTATTTGCATCTTAACTTTCTATTTCACATTCCTTATTCCTTCTCCTCACCCTCCCTCCTGACCTCCTTATTTCCGAATCGCGTGCTGTGTTATATTTTTACGGTCTAAATCTCCAACAATAAGGCTACCTTCTCATCAATAGGAACCTATTGGTTCAAAGGTGCATATAGTTGCCTGGGCGCGAAATAGAACAATATTTTTCATCAAGAAGAATAGATTCTAAATTGTATTCCATGCCGCTCGCTACTCAAACGTTTCAACATTTTTTTCATCATAAAACAAAAAGTATTTAACGACTATTTAATAGCATAATCTGCTTGTATAACTGAAAAGAATCCGAGACCATCAGTCCTATAGTTACCAAGTCCAAATTTTGGCTTGAATCGCGGGACACGATTCCATTCTTTATCATTCGTTGACTTGAAAGTATTTTCGTCCAATAATAGTAAGTGTCCTTCTATTTTAACAATATAATACTGGAAAAAAATTTTTTTATCCTTTAATTGGATGTTTTATTCCGTCATTTCATTTTTAAACATTCTTAATTATTTATATTTAGTTACTCTGAAACGCATTCGAATACTTAAGTTTGAAAATGACTACGAATCCTGGTCTACAGTCAATATCCGATCTGACAGCCTCGACTCGTTTGACAACAGGCGACATACCACCCCCACTCGTAGGTTCTTCAACGGTTGTAATCGGTACTCACCTTTATTTATTCGCTGGACGTCTTGTGTCTTCGCGACGCATGACCAATGAGCTATATGTGCTAGATTTGGAAACTTTTGTATGGAAAAAAGTTCAAGATAATGATCAACAAACACCCAAAGCAAGATATTTTCATTCATCCAATCAATACAAAAACTCTATCATCTTTTTTGGTGGGATGGGATATTCAAAAGTAAATGACAGCCTATGTGTTTTAGATGATGTGTCCATTTTCGATCTAGAAACGTCCTCGTGGAAGCACCCTGAAATTAAGCCGTCCGATTTTGCACCCCGTCCACGATATGCACATTTGGCTGCTGTGACATCAAATAAGTTGGTGGTGATAGGTGGCCAAGACATGACCAATTACTATATTGAAGAAATAAATGTTCTTGATTTGGATGAAATGAAATGGACTTTATCGCGAACATTTGAAAAACATTGTGGAGCATATCGGTCGGTCGCCGTCAGCAGCATTAACCATACAAATCTATTTCTGTTTGGTAATAACACGAATGATACCGCCTCGCTTGCATCCCTCGAAGATCCATCATCCCAAGTTCCCGAAACGAGTCCGCCGACACCAATTCGAAAAACCAATTCCTCGCAATCTTTATCTACGACATCCAGTAGCACAAATATTTTACGCAAGCCGCCTTCGATTGGTACATTTGGTCGCCCAGCTTCTATAAAACGAACGCCTTCTGGCCAAACCCTCCTTCGATCCCAATCGATAAAACGAGTCCAGTCATTCGGAAATTCATTTTACCGTCTTTCCTATACAACCAACGCCACTGAAGATAACCCAAATCCTATATATTTGTATTCTAATTATAATTTTACTGATGTTAAGCGTGAGCTTCAAGTGATAGATCCTCCCACATCACCCAATTTTCAAATTGCTGACCATTCCGAAAGTATGACGGGTACCTTTCTACCTCCCGGCCTTCGATTTCCAACCGGTGCAATTCTTGGACATCATCTTATAATTTCAGGAACTTACCTCACAAACCCTAGTCAAACATTTAGTATATGGTCATTGAATCTCTCGAATTTAGTATGGACTCGAATTGACACGGGCTCATGTTTTTCACAGGGTTCTTGGAATCGTGGCGTTCTTTGTGAAGCAGCTAACAAGTATTTCGTTCTGGGTCATCGTGACAGATCACTTGTAGATGACTATAATCACCGACAAACTAATTTTGATCACATAACAGTTGTAGACTTGGAAGCATTTGGTATTTATCAGCCCCCTCCAGCTACAATGTCTTCAGTAGCTCAGGAATTAGGGTTGGCGATGATGAATGATCCCAATATGTCAGATTTTGAAATTGTGACGTCAGACAATAATCGAATACCGGTTAATTCTCAATTGTTATCTAACAGATGGCCACATTTTAAAGCACTGGTTGAGCAGCAAGCTGAAAGTGCTCCTACACCAAAATATGACGAAGAAACTCAGCGAAACTCTGATAATAATGAACCAATATTAATGTATCAGCATCGTGCTCTCGAATTCCCTGAACCCCTCGATGTAACATTAGCATTTTTGCAGTATTTGTACACCGATCATCTACTTACTACTCAACAATATCAACCGCATGTTTTGGCCCAACTATTGCTTTTGGCGGATATGTATGACCTAAGCCGCCTCCGTCAATTGGCATCCCATGCGCTTCATCAATCGCTCAGTATGCCGACTGCTGCTTTGATATATGAGACTGCTGCCTTATCAAGGCAGACTGGTTTGCAAATACGGGCTCTCAAAGTTATGATTGCGGCAAAAAAAATGGTTCAGCAACGACAAAGTAAAGAACAATCGTCGTCCAGAGGTATTCCAAATGGTAACGGACAAATACCGTCAAATCGCACATCCTTATCTGAACAAGAAATGGCTTCATCAGCGAGCTGGACGACGTTGCCCAACGCGTCGAGTCCTGCAGCGCAATTGGATCCGAGATCATCATATTATGACCCATATTCGTCAACAATGAATTCAACGTCACAGTCGTCTCACACTACACGTTCACGCTCATCGTCTTCAGCTTCAGCGCTCAGCAGTACAATACCAAATCGTGGATATCTGCCGACTATACAGGATAACCTAGGATCGAACGAATCAGATGCAGTTCCGATGAATTCATCGCGTCCACGTTTACGATCTACGCAATCAAGCAGCTCATTGGGGTCTAACATGAGTCTCACAGGGAGTAGCACTTTCGGAAACAATCCTGTTCACCAACAATCAATTACGACTGAAAATCGATCATATCAACAGGACGCAGGATTTGGATATGTAAGTGGGGGGCTGGCCGGGATGGGATTTTGAAGAGTCAACTTTGTCATCAGGTTTGTAAAAGTATGTGAGAAAAAATATGGATTTTTAAGGTATATCTGGGAATCGAGTAAAATGATCAGTAAGGCACTTTGTAAAAAAAAAAAAAAAAGGAAGGAAAAAAATTTTTTGACATTTCAAATTAAACAGGAGGAGGACAAGATCTTTAAAGTCCATTATTGTGCGTGACTTTCGATCTTGGAAGGTTTCAAAATATTCGAAAGATATTGATGGTAAAAATCTGACCGCTTTTTAGCTATTTTTTAATTTCACTATTATAAATACCTTTGTTATATACATACACATTAGTAAATATTATTATTATTTTACATAATCAGTGACATAGTATGATTTGGTTTAAAAGCTGAGTTTAGATATACAGCATTCGGTTTTTTTGTTTTTTTTTTTTTTTTTAGAAAAAAAAAGTAAAAATTTTATTCATTTTTTTTTTATCTAAATATAATTTATTTATTCTTTAAAGCTTAAGCTTAAATTGGACCACCTGTGACGCATATTGTATCTTAGCATATACATAGTTCCGTTCGGCAAAATGCCATTTTAGATGAAATTAGCTAAAAAAAAAAATCCCCACGAACTTCGATTGTTGGATTAGTGAATTAATCGTCTAACTTTCGAATATATATCGGTTATTGCACGATTATTAAATAAAATTCATTATTAGCATTATACAGTATAATAATTTTAATAATAAATAAAAAATCTACTAACGGGGATTCAATTATCTTAAAAGAATCAGGTGCTATCTTGATTTTCTATTTCTTTGTATTTTTAAATAAATATACTGTATTTTATTTTTATTTTAATTTGCAATCATATCATTATAGCATATCATTATTGAAATAAATATTTTTGGGTTATTACATAATGATCAACTTTATTTTTTTTTTTATAACCCGTGATCAGGCCAGCACTGTATGCTTATTAATCAATTCAAAAATCAATAGAGATACATAGGGCAATTGTATCATGGCTAAATTAAAACTCATGCTAATTCATTCATCAATGGTTTTCAATTTTCAAAAAAGCTTCAGCTCTTAAGTGCAACCTTGGGAACAATATTTCATTCTGTAGTTTAGGTAAATACTTTTCTAATTTACACATTATTGTCAGCAAGTTGTCACTACTTATTATTCTTCAAGAAATTGATTTCGAGAAACTATAAAAGGAGAAAGGAAAAATAAAAGAAAAGTGTATATCTAAAAATACATAATTGTGTTTATATGAAAATAAAAAAAATAAATAAAAAAATAAAAACACTCTATGTTCTTCAAAGAATTTCTACTAGAAATCTCTTTGCATTAGAAGTTAACCCTTCTGAAATATCCTTCTTCTTTCTAACTATCTAAGGAACTTATTTATTTGTAATCTCGATTATTTTCTTGTGACTATCTAAAATACTTATTACTTATTCAGATTCAATATCTTGCTAATGCTTTTTTTCTTTCAATCTTAATTTTGTATTCATCTACGTAAAACAAAATAACTAATAGTAAATCCCAGGTTCTTATATAACTTTTCAATCTTATTATGTAACTTCTGATATTTTTCAGTAACCATACCTAGTTAAAGAAATTTTACTGATATTCATCTTGATTGTGATATTATTATACAATATCTAAAGAAATATATTCTCAATTCTAAAGAAGAACAATGTTTTATATTTCTCTGTTTTTTAGTTTTAAAGCCTAATCAGAATAAGAAAATAATCTTTTTCACATACTTTGCTTAACCAGAATGATAAGAAGTTAAAGACTTCAATTTAAATAAATTATTCCCTTTTTATTATTTATAAAATTTAGTATCTATTCTAATGGCCTTATAATTTCTTTGCTTCAGTTACATTTTATTTGAAGAAGTGAAGAAATTCATATTAATAATTTCTCTTTTTTTTTATCAATAATATCATTGAAACATATAATATAATCAGTAGGAGCTTGTTTATATTCTACTATCAATATGTTTTATATCAATCAATTATTTTTAGCAAAAGCTATGTCAATTTTGTGTCACTTCAAAATTCAGGGTCAAGCTATAATAGATAAAATTCTTTAAAAACTCTAAAAAATAAATAACTATAAGAGAGTAGAAATAGTAAGAAGAAAAGTTTTATAGTTTAGACTTTTATTCATTTATCTATTCACTACACAAAACCTTTAGTTGCATTCTTACTTCAAGAGATAAACTTTCAATATTTTATTATTAATTTTTCTTTCTTTTAGAACTTTCTTGTTATAAGTAAAAAAGGTATTTCTTGACTTTTCTTAATTACTGGAAATCAAGTTTTTGTTTAAAAAAAGAAGAATATAAACAAGAAAGTGAAGTTGAAAAGAACTTTTGAAATTATTATTCAAGTTATTTTAAAAAAATTAATAAGACTTTATTAGCAGAAAAGTATAAAACTTTTTTGTAAATATCTTTTTTGTGTATTGTTAAGAGAAAAAGTTTATTTACATAATTAATAACTTATTATTATTTTTTTTTTGCCATCTGTCAAGCTAGTTACATATGTTTTATTAAATATTTATAAGCTATATATATGTATAAAATAAAATACTAAAGTTAATTCCTTAACTAGCTTACTTGTTTTAATTGTTTTATCTTTTTAATTGCAACTTTGAGAGTACTTTATCACTTCATTAGAAGTTCAGGTAAATACCCTTCCAACTTTTATCATTATTGTTTACAGATTACTATTGTAATATATAATTAATAACTTATTTTTATATATTATTAATTAAAGAATTATACAACCTAAAAATATAAAAAGTTTACTAAGCTAATTAAGTTAAATAATTAAGTTTTAATTAAATATTTGTTATTATAACTTATTTTATTGAGATTCTTGATAAAATATATATATATATTTTTTTTAAAATAACCCTCTGTCAGGTTAGTTAAGTATGCTTTATTAAACCTTTGTAAACTATACATAAAAATGTGTCACTAAAGCTATATCTCTAACTAACTCACTCGTCTTA